ATCTCTTCTTCAAATTTGTTGATGGTAATGCGGTGTCGCTTTGGTTCGTCTCCTTCTCCCCTACAGACAACTCTGCTTTGTTCAGGACCGTTGGAGATTTGAATATTGATGGTGAAAAACCTTCGTTTTCCTCTGATAATTAGATTTATTATTGGGGTTTTCCCAAATTCGAGTTATTGGGACAAAGTGATTGTTGACATAGTATTAGGGTCTTTTATGATCGAAAAGTCTTCTCGACCTGCTCAAGTGACTAACTTTCATTTTCATTTGAGGAGTATGTTAGTGTGTGGTAATAAATCCATTATTAAACCTCCTATAACAATCTGAATTATAGGAACAAACTAGATGTTTACAATTTACTAATCTCGTCCAACTTGGCCTTTTAGTCACTCTGTTTTAAGTAAACCCAACTACATTATGTGGCGCTGAATCAGTAGCTATATCTACATTGATGCCATATACGGCAGAGTCGAGACTGATGGTGAACAAGTTGGCTTGAGTGAGTTAATCACAATCAAGCTATTTCCCCTATGTCGAGTACATCAAGTTGGCATAGACCCATTTGAAACAGAAGCCTATAGAAGTATGAACTGGTGGCAGAAACAATGGCCTTTTGGGAATAGAGTCCCCTTGAACTATAGAGACAGATATCGAACTGAGAAACAACTACCTTAGAATGGAGCAGGTAGAAAGCGATATTATTGTATGGAGATGGGTAAGTTGTAATTCGAGAAAGCGAAGCTTGAATCCTGCCGGCCTCTGGGGATTTCAGACAAGGCCTCCAATTGGGTGGCAAATGGCAAAGCAAAAAGACAAAAGATACTTCTGTGGTGATATATGTCTGGTTAATTTCCTTTTGCTGTGTATGCAAATGAAATCAACAAAAGGTTATATGCTTGTTGATTTCTTATTGGTCGAGCAACACAGATTTTTATATAGGTTTGTTGGTAAAGTTATGTAGTAGTTAAATAATTCAAACATCAAACTTCTAGATTAAAGATTAGTGATAGTATCACCAGATTATATTCTTGTTCCCGTAGTTTCTTTATCGCTAATATTGATATTCTCCTTCTTGAATTATAGGTGGGAGCTAAGAATCCAAGAAGCCAACTCTAAACAAATTCAAGGAAATGCAATACTTATTATAGGGGCGGAGATGAAAAGGCACATTCAAGGTATGCGGTACCCTGGATTTCACCCGGAGTACCGTAGAAGCCACCATATATATATATATGAGGTTCTCACCCTATCCATAATTTTATTATAGCAAAAATATAATGCAATATAATTTTATATAATTTGAGTAAAAAGTATATATGAATTGGACAGAAAATATCGAGAATGAGACATATGCGAAAGGTCGAAGAAAGTATCCATACTCCTAATAGACTAATACCCACTTCAAAACAAATCAAACAAATAAGACGACACGAATCATATCTAAATTATCATCCCATTTTTTTTATAAAAAAATTATGTGAATGATGTTAGTTTGTAACATTTTCAGTTAAAATAGATAAAGAGTTCTTGAAATTTACTTCTATAACCAGAGATTATAGCGTCAAGAACCAGTTGATCCCAATAACTTGAGCTGTTGGAAGAGGTTCAAACGTGGATCATATACCGTTTACTAATACCCCCCTTCAAACTCAAGCCATTCAGATAGGCTTGGAGTTTGGACATGCATGGGTCCGAACACTGTGTGCTTAACAGAAACATATGGGGGTCACCGGGAATCGAACAGAAGATCTCACAGTCATAGAAGGCTCTAATACCATGTCAATAATCAGTTGATCCCAATAACTTCAGCTGTTGAGAGAGGTTCAATCGTGTATCATATACCATTTATATTAGTTGGAAGCCAAGCCATGAATCGCCTTCAATTTTTGACAAAACACCTTCAATCCATCGGCTCTTGCAACATTATTATAAAAAAAAGGCTTATGAGAACGAAAGCTAGCCTGGAGGCCAGAAAAAGAAGTGACGTACTAGGTGCAGTCAATATTGAACTTTCATGTTGTTGAGTTTGGTTTTATGTCCACTTCAATGTCGGGAGAGAACAAAGTGACGGAAGTGATTGCAACGCATGCAATGTCATTAACATTTAGTTTTATTCCGAGTTTAGTTATATGAATAGCAGAAACTTAAATCTAACCGAATCAGGAAATAACGTCAACGATATATCGAGTTAGCTAATATAACTATGTCAAACATGAAAACGATAAATGTAACGGTATTAACATCATCCTTAACTATAGTGAAAAAGTGAATATAATTATAACATTGGTAACAAATATTTGACTACTTCATTTATCCTTTCAACATATTTGATTATCTTGTTCACGGGACAAAAAGTGTGGCTATAGAGTTATACTAACACTTTTCTTATTAAATTTTCTCTCATTGTATCGGTTTGGTGTAAGCGGATATCCAAGGATGGACTTTCGTTACTTATCATAAGTTGGAGAACACAGAAGCTCTGAGCCCACACACCGATTTCTAGGACCAAAAAAAAGCCCACACCTACCTCAAATGGAAATACGGCCCACGTCAGCCCAACAAGTGATCGAGTGAAAACTTCATTCGCGGGCATTCACCAATACGACAGTTAGCGGTGTGCAAATGGTTACCATGATAATTACCAAACCTAATAAGTCTAAAATCTATAATCATAGGTTGAAATAGACCATTCTTTCAAGTTTTTTTACATCATATTTTATGAGTTTTTATCTAAGGGCTAATACCACTGGGAAACCCGAACTATTACTTTGTGTCATTTGTGTTCTAAAGTATTCGATACGACATTTGTGTCCCAACCTATTATAGTTTTGTGTCATTTATGTCCTAACGATTTTGTTGACCGTTATATATAACGGTTGACCAAATGGAAGTCAACATTAACATTGACTTTTGTTGACGTGGCAGCCACGTAGATGCCACGTCAGTGACACCTCATATTTTTAATTAAAAAAATAAAAATTATTATAAAAATTATTAAACCTAATTTTTATTTATCTTTTTATGTCACTTAAAAAAGTCAATAAAATATAAAATAAAAAAAATCTCCTCCCTTCTTCCGTCAATCTCTCCCCACAATTGTACCCTTCTTCCATCAATCTCCTCCACCAAATCCGCCGGGCGCCCTCTCTCTTCTTCAATCGGGCCGCCTCCTCCTCCCTCAACATCTCTCATCCCTTCTTCTTCTTCTTGCTCTCCTTCACCTCCCCACTCCCCTCAGGTCCAGATCCACCGCCTCGATCCCCAAATGGTTGTCGTCCGGATCGAAATCCCGCTTGAAGCTGGCCCGCCACCGTCGTTGGATTTCACGAACCTGAATGGGAAGCGCGTCCATGTCCTCTCTCAGACTGAACCACGGCTGCGACCCTGACCCGACCGAACCAACGACCCCAGTCTCGGCCACCGGCCACGTGTACCGAATCCCGAGCGAGTCGAGCTCCGATCTCACCAGTTGACTCGTGTTGAATTCTTGGAAAGCCAGCTCTGGATCCTCGTGGATCCTCCTCCGGATGCTTCTCAGTCATCCCAAGAACTCCGACTCTCTTGCCATCTGCAGCAGCTCCTCAGTGAGCGAAGTCAGATCCGGCTGACTCGGACGATTCTCCGTCGCGGCGGCGGAAGCGGAGTGACACGTGCAGAGCACCATCTTTAAAGTGACTAACCACGCCATTGGTAGAAAGGAGAAGGAGTGAAGTTCAATTCGAGTTCGAGGGAGGAGATTTTAAGCCTTTAGAGGAAAGAAACGAGTCGCTTTCGTTCATTTCGGTGGCGGAAGTATAGATAGCCAGGTAACCGCCGCCGCCGTCGTTGGATTTCACGGCCATGGCTGCTGGGAGAAGAGATCAGAGTGAGTGGAAGACAGAGATATTTTTTATTTGTAATTTTGTTTTTTTTGTTTTAGATTATTCATTTATATGAAAAAAATTATAAATTGATATTATAAATTCCACTACAGATGCCACATCAGCGCTGACTAAAGTTTCTGTTAAAAATTAACGGTCAACGCCAGTCAACTATAACGGAAAAATAGTTTGGGACACAAATGTCGTATCGAATACTTTAGGACACAAATGACACAAAGTTAATAGTTCGGGTTTTCTAGTGGTATTAACCCTTTATCTAAAATAGGAGTTCATATGTTGTGGTATACAATCTACAAATATAAATATACAGTATGTGATTAATTAATATTTGATTATTGTTAAACAAAGCAACCCGTAACTCTTTTTACGTGTGTTCATCTTCTTTTTGTTTTTCTTTTTTTTTATTCATAAACACATAAATATATAAGTCGATGTTTTGGATATTGGTTGAAGGAATCCCTGGTGGTGGTTTGCTTGATCCTATTAGCATGTAGTGAAGGCAAATAAACACTCGGTGGAGAGTACGTACTTTGAAGGCGTATTCTTCAGATTTCAACAAACTCAATCGGTTTGATGGAATCAATTTCACCCGCTGGCAAGAGAAAATGAAGTTTCTGTTGACTGCTTTGAAGATCGTGTACATACTGGATCCTGAATTGACACCACTTTCTGAACCATAAGACACTGATTCTGATGAACTAAATGCAGAACGCCAAAAGAGGAACGTTGACAGCCTGCTTTGCAGAGGATACATCCTCAATTCACTATATGACCGTCTTTGTGATATGTACTCCCAATTGACGACCCCCAACAGAGATATGGACATCTTTGTAGAATCATGGTACTACAGCTAGGGGTGTTCAAATGGTTACCATGGTAATTACCAAACCTAATAAGTCTAAAATTTATTATCATAGGTTGAAATAAACATTCCTTTCAAATTTTCATCCATCATATTGTATAAGTTTTTATCTACAATAGGAGTCCAACAACAAATATACAGTATAGGAACAATATAGAACTTGATTTTTTATAACCCTAAGAGGGAGGACGTTTGACACTTGAGCGGTTATGCAAAGTATTAAGCATGTGCATATAATATTTTATGAGATACATGACCAATTACATAACTGGTTAGTTTGGTTTAATTGATTATCAGTGTCTAAAACCAAACCAAGCCGCCTACACCAACCAAGCCACAATTTTTAACCAAATATTCAAACCGTTGTCCAAAATTAATAAAATCTAATTATCCAAACACTACCTGCAGTTAAAATGGTTACCATGATAACCACAACGTTTGAACAGATCTGGACCTCCGCCGCTAGCTAAACTCCCCTCCGGTGTCTGTCCGGCAGCCATATGTATCCACTCCAGTTTAGATGATCGAAACAACCCAAAAATCCTCCCGGCGACGATTGCATGCTTCTCAACCCCGCCATTTCTGTAGGGCAGTTGAATGGCAGGGCAATTCTCCTTTGGCAGAAATCCATGGTAAGTAAAGCCATATATGATGAGATTCCTGCCAAAGGAGTATTGCACTGTTATTCTTCACTACCCTTTTAATCATATCTTGCTCCCATGCAGCCCGATGATCGATGACCTTCCAAACGAAGTTGCAGTTTATATATTTGTGTTGTTATATTCGCACATTGCAATGGATATACTATACTACCAAAGATGAAATAATGGCATATGCCAGAGATCATTCCTCTACCTGAATCTCTAGGCTTTCTCTTCCATCTGTTAATGGTGAATTTGGTCCCCTGTCCCCCCGCCTCTTTCACTGGCTGAATGGCCGGGCTTCTTTCCTTCCTTTTTCACCCCTGCATGCTTTTCAGAATCATATCGTAGCAAAATCAATATTGCTGCATTTATTTATGCGGAGAATCATCCATCGTTTATACCATTGCCTCGAGACGCTACGTAAAACCAATCGGCTACATCAGAGGATAGAGGAACGCAACGCAACCTTATTGCAGCGACTAAGAGCAAGTAAAAGGAGAAAATATATATATTAGATGCTTTATAAGATCTTCACTTTAGTCTCTAAGCCAAAATCCTCATATTCTAATTCTGATCAAGATAACCAAAAGTCCTCGAGCTCTCGCAGTGGCGGACCCAAAGGCATACATATTTTCGGTACAAAATTTTTGTGAAGGACCTACATATTTTCGGTACAAAAATTTTAAGTTCTGGACTTTCGACAACCCTTCGATAATTATAGCCGACACACCTTTATTAGACTGGAAATTTTTTATTATTTAAATGAATCAATTTTAAATTCTAATTAACAAAATTTATTTTTAATTTGTTTAAAATAACTCATAATCATATCAATTGCTATTAAAAAAACCCACAGGCCATACCAATATACATGCGTGCTGGGATGGGTCCTTTCATTAATGGAGAAACAAAAAAAATTACCAAAGCCCAAGCGACAACTGTCGAGACTCACCAGAATACTTGCTTTTGAAGTTGGTATGACTTTATATGCTGAAATGCAAGCTGCGAAAGAGCATTTTCAGCTATGAAGATAATCAAGAACGATCTTCGAAATCGGTTGGATGACAAATTTATGAATGATTGTTGTGTATATTTGAAAAAGATTTGCTTTGCAGCATAAGTGATGAATGTATTTTATAGACATTTAAGTAGATGAAAAGTCATTTTGATTCATTGTAAACATGATATTGTGAACTTTATAAATTAATTTTTAATAATTTTTTATTTAATTTTTAATTTTTATCGGCGACACACCTCTCCGACAATCCTAGGTCCGCCACTGAGCTCTCAGATCCCCCGAAACTTGATGATCTCAGTTACTAAATGTAAATGAGATGGGTCGTTTCTTATGCGTAGATTAATGTTTGGTGTATATATCCAGAAATTTGAAAAATATAGATATTCGAAAATGTGGACGTGCTCAAATCTACACATAATATAATACACCGAAGGATCATAACCAATCACACTAAGTACATTTGTTGTATCTTTTTAAATAAAAAACATATAATAGCAGGGAGGAAAAAACCCTTCCACATTTCAAATTCTCTGCTCCAGGAGCGTTTGTAGGAAGGGTAGAATAGGGAGTATCAATTTTTTTCTCTTTCCTTTGTGGAACGGGCCAACTTACCGTACACATGCGGATTTAAACGGGTCCAGGAGTGTCAATTTTTTTCTTTTAGCCCTTTTATTTCTCCGTGGTGATAAAATATATATGAAAAGGCAAAAACAATACTCCTTTTTATTGCTAAAAATAAAAATTTTAACAATAAACTAATGCATGGTATCTAATGGGCTAACCGCTAACCATAAAATAAAAGAGTTGAATGAGCCTGACCTACACGGGATTTGGCCATCAAGTAAAACAAATGAACATCATTGGTTTGTCATTCTAAAACAAGATATTTTCTCTGGCATAATATATATTATGCTATTATTTTATATCTTAGTGGCTAAAATATAAGGTATTTTAAAGTTATTCAATGGTTCAACCTCGACCAACCCAATTAATCCAATTTTTATCATTTCAAATATATATTATATAATTATTTGATATCATAATGATCAAATTATAGTATTTTATAGGGAATCGTTTGGTATTTGTTAGTAAAAAAATAAACAGAACGATCTATTTGGTTACTTTAAATATTAAAACGATCCTAAACATTTCCAGTTCCTTTTGAATTTTTATGGTTTAATTTTATTCCCGAATAAGTGATGTGCAAATGACGAATTGCAGTCATCTCTTTTCTTTCACTATTTTTTATTTTCAAATAGAAAGTTTAAAAGTAAAGAATAATTACAATTTGGCATGGGTCGGTCAAACATGCTGAATTTCAAGTTTTGACCCGTTTTGATCAAGTCTAATTTAATTATAATCACATGGTTCCCTGATACCCGATAAAAATCTCAATCCAAACCAGTTTGGCAGGGGAGTCTGTGTTTACGATCATTTTCTAGGGATACGACAACGGCGGTTCCTATCCCAAATCGTGTTTTTCGTTCTTGATTTCCTTAGATTTTATCATGGCCTAACAAAAACCAGAAAACACAATGACGACAAGATGAAAGTTTTATAAAGCAAATTAATCAACCAACGGGCCGAGTAAAAGCTAGCAACGATTGTGAGATGCTCATTTCCCGAAAATCGACGGGATAGGCGATTTTTTATTCGATTTTCTGGAATTCGGTTTCTATAAAACTTACTCCACCTCATCATATTACCAGAAACAATATTGTTTCACAAGGTAACATGTACTTGATTTTGGTTCATAAGGCCGAATTTTTGATTCATTGCATCATTCATTGTCTCTTTCCTACTAAAATTCACTATTTTTATCACGAGTTTCTCAAAAAAAATTATACAACAATAAACTATACACCCAATTACATTATCAAATTTCATACCTCACCTTCCTCCGACCAACTGGCCGGGGCCACGCTAGTAATAGATTACTAGTTGAATGAAATGTGTTTCTGATTTTCCGTTTCCTCTTCGGTTTTTGTGTGTGTGTGTGTGTGTGTTTTTTTTTGGCTGCTTTGGGTTCTCTAATGAATCGGGTTGACCCAGTAACCCGAAAAGCCCACAAAATAGATTTGGACTGGAACTAGCAAACGACTAGACGAGGGCGAATTCTTCCTCTCACCTTCTCCAGCTCCGCCGTCGGTAGAAGCAGCTCTCCCACTCTCTACGGAGGTCCAAGAAACTCGGTGCACTTGTTCTGATTTGGATTTTAATCCTGTTCTTGGTGCTATTCAGGTTTCAATTCCAAGTTCGCATCTTTGACGGTTGGTTGCCTCTAAAAATTGATTCCGAGAACCGCTGGGTTCCGTTATTGGATGCTGGTACTTCTCTCTATTGCTACTCTACTTGGAATGAGGAAGACGATGATCCATAGAAACTGGTCCAGATTTCAGCGGCCAAGAACAGCCTGTATGGCTGATTTTGCTTGTTCCACTGCTGCTTTAGCACCATCTTGCTCTGGGTGGAATCCAACTACTCCTGGTACGTCAAATTCTGCTACTTTCATCAACGTCGATGATGCCTTGGCTTCTTTTGAACTGATGGTCAGCATGAATCCCAAGCCTTCCATTTCGAGATTCGATCAGGTATTGTCCTATCTTCTGAAAATGAACGTCCCTCATACTGCCTTCTCTGTATCTAGATCAATGGAATTGGCTGGAATTCCACACAATGAGTACACACTCGACATGTTGATTCGTTGCTTGTGTAAATTAGGCAGTGCGGATGTTGGATTTTCAGTTTTGGGTAAAGCTTTTAAACTTGGAGTTCAACCTGATGTTGTGACCTTTGGTACATTGATTAATGGGCTCTCTAAAGATGGAAAACTTGCTGAAGCTGTGAACTTGGTTGATAAAATTAGGATGTTGGGATATCAACCTGAGGTGTTAATGTATACCCCAATCATCAATGTACTATGCAAAGCAGGACAAGCAAATGCAGGCTTTGAATTGCTCGAGAAAATAGAAGATTTAGGTTGTCAACCTGACGTTGCTAATTATACCACAATCATTGATAGCTTCTGTAAGGATGGGTTGCTATGCAAAGCCTTAGATGTGTTTTCTCGAATGAAGGGGGGAAATATTTCACCAAATGTCGTCACTTATAATTGCTTGATTCATGGATTATGTATCTCAAGCCAAGAGAATGAAGCTATGGTGTTGTTGGATGAAATGATTGAAAAGAACATCATGCCAGATGCATGTACCTTCAACATACTGGTCGATGCTTATTGTAAGAAACGAAATGTGTTGGAGGCTAAAGTTGTAGTCAAAAGGATGATTCAAAGAGGCTTGCTTCCAAATGTGGTGACTTATAGTTGTTTGATTCATGGTCTATGTATCTCGAGCCAAGAGAATGAAGCTATGATGTTGTTGGATGAAATGATAGAAAAGAACGTCATGCCTAACTTATATACCTTCAACATACTGGTCGACGCTTTTTGTAAGAAAGTAAATGTGTTGGAGGCTAAAGCTGTAGTCAAAAGGATGATTCAAAGAGGCTTGCTTCCAGATGTGGTGACTTATAGTTGTTTGATTCACGGTCTATGTATCTCGAGCAAAGAGAATGAAGCTATGAAGTTGTTGGATGAAATGATAGAAAAGAACGTCATGCCGGACACATATCCCTTCAGCATACTGGTTTATGCTTTTTGTAAGAAAGGAAATGTGTTGGAGGCTAAAGTTGTAGTCAAAAGGATGATTCAAAGAGGCCTGCTTCCAGATGTGGTGACTTATAGTTGTTTGATTCACGGTCTATGTATCTCGAGCAAAGAGAATGAAGCTATGAAGTTGTTGGATGAAATGATAGAAAAGAACGTCATGCCGGACACATATCCCTTCAGCATACTGGTTTATGCTTTTTGTAAGAAAGGAAATGTGTTGGAGGCTAAAGTTGTAGTCAAAAGGATGATTCAAAGAGGCTTGCTTCCAAATGTGGTGACTTATAATTGTTTGATTCATGGTCTATGTATCTCGAGCCAAGAGAATGAAGCTATGATGTTGTTGGATGAAATGATAGAAAAGAACGTCATGCCTAACTTATATACCTTCAACATACTGGTCGACGCTTTTTGTAAGAAAGGAAATGTATTGGAGGCTAAAGCTGTAGTCAAAAGGATGATTCAAAGAGGCTTGCTTCCAGATGTGGTGACTTATAGTTGTTTGATTCACGGTCTATGTATCTCGAGCCAAGAGAATGAAGCTATGATGTTGTTGGATGAAATGATAGAAAAGAACGTCATGCCTAACTTATATACCTTCAACATATTGGTCGACGCTTTTTGTAAGAAAGGAAATGTGTTGGAGGCTAAAGCTGTAGTCAAAAGGATGATTCAAAGAGGCCTGCTTCCAAATAATATCACATACAATTCATTGATGAATGGGTATTCCCTGCGGAACGAAGTAGACAAGGCGCGGCGGGTATTTGATTGTATGGTTCTCACGGGATGCAAGCCTAACGTTTACAACTATAACACCATGATTGATGGATATTGCAAAAGTAAAAGGATGGAGGAAGCCGAGCAGTTATTTAATGATATGCTTGGGAAGGATGTGTCTCCCTGCACTATTACATATAATATTCTCATGAATGGATATTGCCATGCAGGGAGGCTTGAAGATGCACAAGAGCTTCTCAAGAAAATGTGCAGTCAAGGTTTATCCCCAAATCTTGCGACATATAGGACTTTGCTTGCTAATTTGTGCAACCGAGGCTATCTTGACAAAGCACTGGCTCTATTTGAAGCAATGAAAAGTAATAAGTTGAAGCCCGATGTTCCTATGTATAACTTCATTATTGCTGGTTTGTTTGAAGCAGGGAGGGTTAATGAAGCAAGGGAAATGTTTTCTACCCTCAGTGAAGGTGACTGCTTAAAGCCAACTACCCGCACATATAACATAGTAATCAATGGACTTTGTAGGCAAGGTTTGGTAGATGACGCATACAATTTGTTTAGAACAATGGAAGGGCTTACTTGTCCACCAAACTGCAAGTCTTATAACGTGATTATCCATGGATTTCTTCAGCATAAAGGTCCATTTGAAGCTGGGGATCTTATCCAAGAAATGTTGTCCAAGGGTTTCACAGCTGATACAACCACAATGTCCTTGCTGATGGATTTAACGTCGAAAAATCAACTGAATCATCCAGTTGTCAGAAAGCTGGTTGGTGATTCTGGAATGGCTTGTGAGGAGGTTAGGCCGAAGGGTTTATCAGCAGAGAGAAACATCACCCCAGAAGCTTGTTAGAATTGTTGCTCGAAACACCAAGTTTGGATCTTCCTGGTAGTACATTGTGCATGGTTATGTCTTTCAGCTGACAGCATCTGTAGAAGGTATAAGCTTCCACTCGTTCTACTGTTCTCGCTGCCTCTCTTTTTGTTAGTGTGTGTTTGTATTGTTCTACCAACCCTTCTGGTTGCTTTGCATGCTTAGTGGCAAGAAAGTCTTTGGTTCTAAAGAGTTTTCCCCAATTGTGAACTTCCAGCACTAGGTCTAGCAGCTAATGCCTTTGTTGCCATGGAGATGCTGACAACAGCTCTGTTTCTATCGCACAAGTGCCTAGACCATTTGCAACAGTTCCAAGAGCTTTTTGCAGCAAGGCAGGCAGAAGGGGGAAAAGAAAGGGAAGAAAAAGGCTTCTTTCTCCATGATGTCATTTGTTTGCAGTTGGCTCTTTGGGATAGTACAAATGTTTGTTGCCATTGCCAGAGATGAAATAATGGCATATGCCAGAGATCATTACTCTACCTGAATCTCTAGGCTTTCTCTTCCATCTGTTAATGGTGAATTTGGTCCCCTGTCCCCCCGCCTCTTTCACTGGCTGAATGGTCGGGCTTCTTTCCTTCCTTTTTCACCCTACATGCTTTTCAGATTCATATCGCAGCAAAATCAATATTGCTGCATTTATTTATGCGGAGAATCATCCTTCGTTTATACCATTGCCTCGAGACGCTGCGTACGTACGTAAAACCAATCGGCTACATCAGATGATAGAGGAACGCAACCTTATTGCAGCGACTAAGAGCAAGGAAAAGGAGAGAATATATATTAGATGCTCTGTAAGATCCTCGCTTTAGTCTCTGAGCCAAAATCCTCATATTCTAATTCTGATCAAGATATACCAAAAGTCCTCGAGCTCTCGGATACCCCGAAACTTGATGATCTCAGTTACTAAATGAGATGGGTCATTTCTTATGCGTAGATTAATGTTTGGTGTGTATATCCAGACATTTTGAAAAATATAGATATTCGAAAATGTGGACGTGCTCAAATGTGTTGTTTGTTAAAAAAAATTACATGAGGTCTTTTTCGGTTGACAAACAAGCAATGTTGTCAAAGCCGAGCCGGAGTATGACCCGGTAACGTGAACGGCTCGGTCATTAGTGGTTCAGCCGGCATTAGACCGTTTAAAAACCGTTTGAGAACCGGTAGTCCATTTCGTAAGCAAACTAGCTGCCCCTATCAGCAAATCTCAAAATCTACGCTAATCACGTCAAGATCAGACAAACGACTACTAGATCCACCACTAATCAAATACCCAGTAAACCAATCGCTAACATAGAAATTCCCAGAACCAACGGAAAGAGTGAAGAAGAAGAAGGGAGATGAATTACCCCGCTGTAGGATGGCACGCTGCTTGCGGCGACGGGACGGAAGCGGTGGGGCGATGGTTGACGGCGGCAGGGTGGCGCCACTCTCCCTCTATCGTCTATTCTACTTCTAGGTCGAAGATGAAGAAATAAAATGAAAGTTAGGGTTTTGTTTGGCTGCCCCATTCCACGATTGTCCTTTTCTTTTTTTTCTTTTTTTTTAGGGTAAACCAAACGGCCGAACCGCGCGACCGGCTTGAGCGGCTCGAGCGGTTAACCGCTTCGGCCGCTTTATAAAACCGTGGCGGTTAAATAGCTGACCCGAGCCAGTTTTACGGCCGGGTGGCGGCTTTGGCGGTCCGCCCGGCCGGCTCGGTTCGGCTTTGACAGCACTGCAAACAAGTCATTTGGTGTGTGTAAATTTACTCATGCAAATTACTCTTCAGTAGGGGCGTTCAAATGGTTACCATGATAGTTATCGAATCAAATAAGTCTAAATTTTATCAATTATGAAATACAATATCATAACCAAATCGTTCAAACTAATATAACAACCAAATTAACCAAACTAAATTTTAATCAGTTTGGTTTATTGGCTAACCAGAATAACCAATACAACATCACACTATCATTAAGTGGGAAAACTTCCCGTTAGTGCACCAATTCACAATTTATATAATGAAAAATAAATAATAATCACCCCATAATTATAGTTAACCCTTAGCATAAATATATGTAGCTAATACAATTTATTCGTACGATTTGACTATTGAGTGGTTATGCAAAGTATATATTAAGTATGTGTATATATAATATATATTAGATATATGGCTAATTACTAAATTGGTTAGTTTGGTTTGAACGGTTAGCAGTGTCTGAAACCAAACAAAACTAGCTAAATTTTTTAACCAAACCAAATCAATTATCCAAATTATATCCAAATACTACCGGTTAAAACGTTTACCACGGTAGCCACTCCGTTTGAACACCCCCTACTCGACCTTAGTGACTTTTCTACATTAACTTGGGTAAAATATAAAGTAATTCGAACAGATTTATACCTACACGATTGGTTTAGTGGTATTATCATCACCGGTATTAAACCCGAGACTTCATATTCAAATGCCTTAAAAATCCTAAAGAATAAGATGGCCACTTTGAGAATTCAAAAAAATCCAAACAGAATGTGCTACGGTATATGCTTACTACATGGAGAAAGAAAGTGGCACAGACTTTTCCCCTTTATCTCATTCAAGCCCTACATTTCAATACATATATATAAACATGGTTATGTTCCAAGTTGATATATGAAGCAAAAAGACATCGACGAACTCGTATGGATGCATTACTGGGCAATAACTCCTTTGGCAGGCGCGCACGCTACTAGTTCGCTCTGGCCATTGTTGGTTGACAATGCGCAAAACAGTGACGAAGCTAAGCTTACTGCCAAAGGAGACTTGCCCCGCAATTCAGCCCTACACTATATTACAGTCATCATTCTCTCTTCCTTGATGTTTGAGGTGAGATTTCCAATGGGCTGGGGATGGGGGAGTTAAGGGCAGTTTTGGGCTTGTAGTAACTGGGCTCTTTCTTCTTCCAGACTGCGATATTTAGTCGTTCAGTCTTTCTTACCCAGACGGGCCAAACGATCGCTATAGCCGGTCCAACGGGCAACGAGACAAACCCAATCATTAATTATTTTAATTTAGTCCGGTTCTGTACATAAATGTCAAGGTTGTCAACTCACGGGTCGTCGACCCACTTTGACCCTGGTCCGGTGTGAAAAGCAGACCGCACGTACCCGTTGGGTCGATCGCTATAAGGTACCGGATTAGAGGACAAATTGTGTCATTATTTTTTTTTCTTTGGTTTGCGAAATGCCCATATTTTCAGATTTTTCTTTTCGCCTAACTCAATCTTTGGAATTCTAAGTTAAACATTTAAATATTGATGTTATATAAGTGCGCGTGAGTTTTCACTATATATTGGATCTAAGTACGATATGTTGTTTTGATGTAATATTATATATTATAACTTATATGTTAGATGAGATTTGATATAATTTATCGGGATAAGTACAATATAATGATTCGTTCCATATTTTCGAGCTAAACCGGGTTAAAACAGATGACCCATTAACCCTTAATCTACTAGCTCAACCAGGTCCGGATCCACACGCGGGTTGACAACCTTGATAAATATTGTAAGAAATTCATGTTAGCTAATTTATTGTTGGTAAACTTGCAATTTACGATAATACCGATTGGTTTCCGTGTTATTATCCGATATGAGGCCAGTTAGTTTATATTATTTTATCTTCCTTTTGTTTTAACAATGACATTATATGTCATGGGTTAAATCATGATGAATGAATGTATTATAAATTTATAATATCGATTCAGCTACCGATGAACTCAATTTCGAACCTAACCGGCCATCAACGGCCCATAGCCAAACCCAACTCGAGCTATGAGCTACGTGAAATGTAATATATTATTATTATTATTATTATTATTATTATTAAAACGAGTGAATCCTCACCATATATACGACCCTAACTTCACACCTAAGAGAACGAGTTATCATTCGTTCTTGATTATTTCTCCAAACATCTTTGAATTATAGGGTAAATTGCAAGTTTGTTCATTGGCCGTTAGACCATCTCCATCCAATTGCTTATTGCTATTGCTTATTGGGTGGAATCCTATGTGGCAATAGCTTTAAGCAATTGCAAAGATGTAGCACTTCTTTCTTATTTAGCAAGATTGCTAAATAAGCAATCCCCTTTGCAATGCCACATAAGCAATTGGGACCCACACATTCATGCACTCAAATTCTTTCTTTTTTCTTTCTTTCTTTTCTATCCACTTTGTACACATAAAATGTATTGTTAAGGAAAAGAATATGTAGTAGGTCCCATCAATTGCAATTGCTAACCTATTGCAGGGATGTAGGTGGTTTGAAATGGTTGAATTGAATAGTTGCTAAAGTTGGTGATGTGGATGTGGGGTCCATTTATGAAATGGCTAACCTATTGCAGGGATGGAGATGGTCTTAGTCTCCGTTAACTTTTGTTGATGTTAAAGTCAATTTTTATAGTTGAATGTTAAATGAGTGACGTGGCAATTAAAAAAATAATAAATTATTAAATTTAATACTTTTATTTTTCATCTAATTATTATAAAAATTAAAAAAATTATAATTCCTTTAATTATTATTTTCCACCGCCGTTCCCCTCCAGCCCCGCATGGATCAAACCAGAATGGTACACTCTCAATATTGAACCATGTTGATTCGAAGTTTTGCCATCAGCAAAGCCAAAACTCTAGCTAAATGGAGGAAGATTAGTTAGATCAACAATTGTCAGATGATCATGCAAGTCCCTGCTTCTCATGATTCCCAGACCAGCTATAAATTTCAACCCATGAGATCAAACAACTAATAATATCATCGCAAAACAACTATGAAACAGAGTAAGAAGGTTTCGGGAGGAAAAAAGAAAGAAACAGAGTACCTCTACTTTTTGCATTATGGCATCTCTCAAACACTGCAATTCAGTCCCGAAGACCTCTGCCGCCCACTCCTTCCACATCTGCACTAACTAAAACAGAAACACTAAGCATAATCCCAACCCATGGATTCAGTTCCCATCAAATT